GGTGTCTTCGTCGTCGTATCGAATCGTATCTTCTACAGCACCGCTAGAATGAGACAACCTCACTCGGTGATACACTTTTATACAGGGCGGTTGCTGCTGATGTGACTGTCCAGTGATAATAACTTGTTTTTTCCCGGACAGTACATCCTGCACAAGTCGGGATTATTGTCAGCTAGCGCTCATCGCGTGCTAAAGCGCGTGTGGCGCAGTGGTATGAGGCGCCACTGCGACGCACACGTGGAATCGATCCCTACGCCCATGGCCCACCGAGCTTTCCATCCCTTCGGGGTCGGCAAATTGGTGCCAAACTTGTCTAGGAGGATAGCAGCATTGGTTCGATGCATCACTAGATCACTGGGAGTCATTGTAAAGGTCAGATATGCATTCGATCACCTCCAACGACACTTAATTAAGTCGAAATGAATGGTGCATCCTTCAGGGATTGATCAACGTCGAGGGCTTTATCTATTTTTTAGCGCGCAGCGTGGGAATGTCGTTGTAAACCGACATTCATTTAATCTGTTTGTAAATGACCAATGTTCCCCGTTTCGCAGGTAGCCGAAATAATATTTGCTAACAAGATTGTGCCAGCTGGTCAATGAAAGAATACATAAGTGCCGTGAATCGAAATAAAATGTCCACCCTCACTTTGCGAATGCTTTTCCCTCTGCAGCTTCGACCATTGCTACTGAATTTCTCTCTTTAAGATATTCTTTTGGCGTTTGCCCGCAGCGTTTTCCAAGTTCGGACGTTAGTTCGCGGTTGCCTGCGGCTCGAGCGATTCCACGCTGGCGTATCAGCTCGAGTGTTTCTGGAGACAGACGTCTCTTGGTGACATATGAACTCTCAGCTTTCATAGCGCTAACGTGAACATGTTGAATGAGCCAATCGTTTTCCTTATCGACGTTATCGGTGATGGCATCTTCCCGGAAACTGGCTTGTGAATTGAATAAATCCTAGTTCATGGTGGTTTTGAGGCTTTATTTTTTGAATTTAACGGCTTTCTGTCCTTTCAACGAGAAATGAAACCTTGCACAGGAGGCGATGGTTTGATCCCATGTCGAATTTTGGAACAACAGCGGCATCGGTTAGGCAAAACTTTCTATTTACTATGATGTGGTCTATTTCGTTATGGTAGTCTCCATTGGCAGACTCCTACGTTCAGCGCTGTGTGCTGGGCTTCTGGAATTGCTGGTTACCACCGAGGGTCCCAATGTGACGTTCTTCAGATGCTTTGCTTGGTTCAATCAAAGCGTTAAAACCCCCAATGATGACCTTGGGGAATGTATGGTGTTCTCCGTAGAACATATCCAAGTCAATATAAAACGCTTGGACTTCTCCGTCATAGTTTGTTGTCGGCGCATAAACGACGAGTATTGTAAAAGCAGGTATTGTTCCACATTTCTTCAATCGTAAACGCCAGATTTGGATTGTTAGTTGTTCGAACGAGCCGATGCTCATGGACACCAGAGCATCGATCATTCAGACCGAGGTTCATTGAAAGTCGGAATTGAAAATTTAAACTTGCAATTGTTTGTTGAACACTAGAGATTCTTGTTGCTTTGCTGGCATGAAATTCCGGTGTCCTGAATACTATTAATTCGGTGTAGCGAAGGCTTATTGAAATGTTGATGTTCGTGTTAAAAACGTTGTCGTGTAGGGAAGGTGTTTGGATTCTTGAAAAATGGTGAAGTGACGACAACCAGAAGACTGGAGGAAGAAGATTCTTATTCCAAGGCACACGAGCTACCATTGAAAATTTTACCAGTCGGTGATGCTGAATGAAATTGAAAAGCCTTTATTTAATGCAAAATATAAATCCGACAGGGCGCTTGTGGCGCAGTGGTAGGAGGCGGTCTGCAACACACATGTGAAATCAATCCCCGAGCTCATGACCCACCAAGCGTTCCATCCCTCCGGGGTCGGCAAATTGGTACCAGACTTGTTTGGGAGGATAGCAGCAGTGGCTCGATATATCGGTAGATCACCACGAGTCATTGTAAGGGATAGATATGCATTAAATTACTTCCAAACCAAACTTAATGAAGTCGAATGCATGGCGCATCTCTCAGGAATTGATCAACACCGAGAGCTTTATTCCTCTATAAATCCAGTCTCGAACAAGCCTCCACAATTTATGAAAGTTTCCCCAGAGACGCTATTGACATCGAACAACATTTGAAATAGAAGTTAGTATAGATTCAGCAAACAACGAATGCACAGTTATGAGTTAGAATTCTCTAAGCAGTTAGAGAAGTTAAAAGTGAACAAGCAACCAGCTATTTTCCAGTTTATCAGCAAACAATCTATGCTGATGTGTAAGAAGCCGCTTGTGTTAGCCTTTCCATTTGCACGTTTCGGCGTCAGAGTATTTTACTGTGATAATGAATGTATAGAATTGAGAATTATTCTCTCTCTCTCTCTCTTGGTACATTTTCGTTGCTCTAAATGCAAACCGTTTCCTAATGTTGAACTTTTTTATTTGCGTCGCAGACGGCTGAAAAGTGCACAGTGATGCCTGGCATACTATCAGCTGCGTACTTGTAGAAACTATCGGTCGAAAAAAGTTCCCTAATCTTACTGTGTGCTAACATCTGCGTACTTACAAAAACGTTGAAAAGTTAAGAGTCCTACAGCAGGTTTTGCCTTATGCTGACGTTGTATGAGAATGGTTCTCTGCTTGTGATATCATTCATGCTCTACTTGTTGGTCCTTCCCTCTCTTTCTTTTCTTCACTAGCATAAAATTAATAAATTTTGACAGTAGATGTCCATCATTCTCTATGCATGGATGCATTTCCCTAATCGTCACGCAGATGCTGCATATTTCTTGACTTCGCTGTACTGTTGTACTTCTAATAGTTTATTTTTCATAGGAAGGTTTAATTACCGAAATTTTGGTTCCGGTGTAGCTGTAATGCAACTACAATCCACAACGCTAGCACAGCACACTCCAGGATTTTCGTTCCCCTGCGTATCGTCATTCCGAAATGACTAATCAATTTCACAGGTCATCGCAGCAGATTCCGACATGCCATTTCCATTTTCCGAAATCCGACATGCCATTTCGTCGGTGAAAAATCGAAAAGCACCAGGTCCGGACAGGATAAGACCAGAACACCGGACGAACCTTCCTCCAGTCCTCGTAAACACACTGGCTCGGCTCTTCACACGTTACCTGTCTGATTGCAAGGTCCCTATTCAGTGGAAAACCAGAAAGACCGTGTTATTGTTCAAGAAGGGTTGATCTACACGATATCAGCAACTATCGCCCAATCTGCTTACTGTCTGTCGTCTACAAACTTTTCACTCGAATCCTCCTAAACAGGATTGACAGAACACTAGACGAAGGACAGCCATGTGAACAAACAGGGTTTCGAAGAGGATTTAGTGCGATGGACCATATCCACACGTAACATTGCTCACCGAAGTATTGAGAGAGTACAAAAGACCGCTCTGTCTCACTTTCATCGATTTACAGAAGGCCTTTGATTTAGTTGGGATGGAAGCAATCTTGGAGGCATTTGATTGTCAAGGAATCCCTACTCAGTACATAAAGATTCTTCGTGAGCTGTCCAAAAATTGTATAACCAAGATATCACCATTCTACGACGATATTAACACTAACGTCAAAAGAGGAGTTACGCAAGGCCGCACCATGCCGCCAAAATTACTTATCGCCATCCTTCAGAACGTCATGCGAACATTGGAATGGGATAATATGGGAGTGAAAATCGATGGTCGGCAGTTACAGCATCTTCGTTTTGTTGATGACGTCGTCCTTATAACACCAAACATTAGCCAAGCGGAACGTATGCTTGACGAATTTGATAAAGCCTGTGGAAAGATTGGTCTTCGACTTAATCTCACCATAACGATGTTCATGAGGAACGAAATGGTTTCATATGCTCCATTCACGCTCAACGGAACGAATATCTCCGAATGCTCCAGTTATATCTATTTAGGTAGGAAAATCAATATGATGAACGACCTAGCTCCAGAGCTGAGCAGAAGGAAACGAACGGCTTGTCAAGAGCATCGAGGATGTAGTGAAAAGAACAAAGAACACCAGACTCCGTGCCCACCTTTTCTACTCAAAGCGACTTCCTACGTTAACGCATGTGTCAGAAACCCGGCCACTCGAAAGGACGATGCTAGGAGTATCCCGTGTAGATAAAGGAATGGATCCGAAGCTCCGACTTACGTCAACTATCGGAAATCAAAGATGTCTTTCTGTACGCCAAACAAAAAAGATAAGGGGGGCCGGACACGTAATGCGTATGAATGATAACGGGTGGACAAGAGCCGTTAGTGAGTGAATTCCTCGAAATGTCAAACATACTGCAGGAAGACCACCGACTCGATGGTCAGAGTTCTTCACGAAGAACCTAGAAGAAAGATATGATGCTCAAGGAGTCCCTAGAGCGAGCAGAACCCACTGGGCTACTGCACGCGACAGGGAAAAATGGAAGGTTTACTGGCGTCCGCTCGAGTCATTCGATGATCAACGGGTTTACAGGTGATACGGATGATCGCAGAAGATCAAAGCCACGTTAACTGTGCAAGCATTCTTGGTGAGTTCCATAAGTTATAGTACCTCCAAAACGCCCGAATAACAAGTGGTGCAAGCATCTCACCGGTAAACGACTCCGTCCATACTTGAACGGTCTCGAAATCCTGATACCGTGTAAAAGAAATGACGGCCAAAAATCTCCTGACGCTATCTATGAAGACTTGTTGCCAACCCACATCATTAAATCTTTTCAGCGTTTGAGGGGCACAATTTAGTCTATTGAACATGCAACATCAACAGTTGAAGTCATTTGAAGATACGAAGCAAAATTGTACGATATAAGTCAACTTTGCCCCAAAGATGAGGACTTTTGTACGTAGTATGGGCTAAACTACGGCGGATGATAGTTTCACGAAATTTGTTCGAATGCTCATAGTTTACTTTAAATGCCCTCAAAGTTCACTTCGCCCATAAAACCTTCATATTAAATGTATGAATTCTTGCCGAATCGAGGAATGATTATGCACGTCGAAATTACATCTGCATTAGATCTAAGTGTGGCCTTCGATGGCTTCATGACGGGAAAAATCTAACGTCCTCTGGGTATATGGGTTGGATAAAAGAAGATAATGTGACTCTAATCTATGGCGCTTCGTAGAAAAAAAACAACACGGCTAAGAGTGATGGACGGAGCACCTGAGGACTTACTATTACAAAGGATTTTTCAGGCTGTGAAGATCTCGAGCACATTGGTGAAAGACGCTAATCGCACTTGTCATTCTTCGAAAGACCGATAGACGTTACCCACCGCCGGATGACACGGAGCCAGTGCTGGACGGAATTTTCACTATATTCTGTCAGATAATTAAGCTACTATGGGTTTTCTATGAAACCATACTTTTCTTACATCTTGATCAATTTATCTCCTTCTGAATTAGACTGATTTCAATCGACGGTCCATGGTCGTTCGTTTTAGCGAGATGAGTTTCCGTTGTTGCGTCGAGTCAAATCTTCGGCAGTGTAGCACGGTCCGAGTAAAATAACCTTAGTCGGCAATGCGCTTTCGTACAGGGCGACTGTCCTTTAACTGATTGTTCGTTGATTGTCGTCTGGTTTTATTTTTCTGTTTTTTGTGGAGGTTTATTTTTATCCTCTTATTTCGTTTTATATTTTTCCACCATTTTCTTTTTCCCATTCTTTATTAAAAATTGTTGCACTCCGTGCTGCATGCACGCCGACTTCTGCAACATGGACTGGCCGGAGAAAAACAAATGATCACCGGCGGACAATCAGTTAATCAGTAATCGCGGTTTACATAAAGGATCTCACTGCCTAGGATTTAATGATAGTGATGGCTAAACGTTGCCGGAGAACTTCCTATCATTTCAGACAGATAGCCTCACGCAATTCTCGTGCTCATCTCGACCTCAGGCTTCATTCTATCCAGTGCAATTCGGCGACGCGCTTCACTGCTAATTTGATCGTTCTGTGCTTGTTTTCAATATTTCCTTTCCAGTTCACGCTATTTTATCCCCTTTACTCAAAACCACTCCACCTACCTTACTATCTATAAGCTGTTATATTTTTATAGACCACTCTAGTCATCTAATTCTAACTAACTTTTAGTCCTTCGTCTTTTTAAGCCGGTATTTATAACACATTGAAAGTTGGCTAGAGTGCTATAGTAGTTAGCCGAGTGCTTGCGATAACTTTCGTAGAACTTGTGCCGTCGAAAATACCAATTCTTCCTTTTCCCTTCGTACCCCTATAAATGTAAGGTATTAACTTGCCATTCGGTTGAGATATACGATTTTCGTTGCAGAGGAAGCTCACTTTAAAGTCACAGCGTTAACGTAATGGTGTTGCGTAATGTGGAGAAGTCTAGAAAAACTCACACCGAACTAATTTCCCTCTAGTATGACTTCAAATTCGACTTGCTACAGCTCGATTCGTCCATCACCACTCTTTCTCCACTGAGTTTTCCGTGAAAGATCTTGAGTTAAGTAAATTTCCTCTAAAATTTTCCCTAACTTTCTGCTTGAATTGAGCTTCATTTGTAGTTGTGGCTTTTTTAAGCTCTGTTCACAACGAGATTTATAGCATACTACCTCCACGAATATGTTTTGTTTCGTCAAACGCTTGCGAAAATTTCGAAGTTTCAGTGTCACAACTACGAATAAATGATCGGAAGAAATTTTTCGCAACATTATGCACATTTTCTTTGCGTATCGACTCTAAAGATTGTTCGAGCAGCTTTGATATACTATCAAGTGAGTCAGTTGGGTAATTGAATTCATCTCTGACGAGCGCGCCGAGGCCGAATTTGGCGTTTCCGCCCCAGTCCGCATTCTTATGATGTACGGCTGAAGTTCGAAGAACATCTTCAGAACACCGGATTCGAATCTTTCCGAATGTTTGACAATAGTCACACTGTGTTTGGAGTGTATTCTTTTCTCGCTCAGATCACTTTAATTAGTGAAGATTTTCTTTCCAGCCGATAGCCTGCTAAGTGACGTGAGATCTTTAAAGTTCTTTTCAATGTAGATATACAAAGTCTCCGATTTTGTCAGAATGTCCATTATTTGAAGGGCCAGGCGACTTCCATAGAAGCTAACATTCTCATAACGAAAAACTAACTTTGAATCAAGTAGTTCAGAAGATTTATTGCATAGTCCAATACTATAGCCCGTATTTAAGTAATAGACACTATCTGCTCTGATTAAGATCTTATTCCGATTCAATTTCGATTCCATGTATTGTATTTGACTCATGCGGTCCGATAGTAATAACCGGTTTCAACATTAAACCAATATATTTTGCCTCATATTGTGCTTTAATGTATTTATATTGATAATCGTTAGTATATATAGGTCGCTGTCAACAAAATTCAATGTATTTTATTCGACCATAATAAAATCTTGATTCTCTGAGACCCACGGGTCATTTCTTTTTCAGCGAGGCTCGCATTTCAAGAATTTATACAATTCAACATCAAGCTCTCTTCATGCAGAATATGATTGTGCACAATATGATTGCATTCTCCAGTGCAAATTTGGTTCTTCCAGTTTTTGTTGTTTCACGGAAAATCTTTAGAATCTTAACTTCCTTTCCATTTCTTTAAAAGCTTTAACTCGATGCGAGGTCAAACCGGGAAAAGAGATTGTATATTATATAATTTTATAAATTTTAGGGTATGAAAAATTTTATTGAATAAGTCACCATGCTAAAAAGATACTCTATTAAAAATTATGTGTTATGTATATATAAAGCTACATATATTCCTAACATGGGGCGCATGTGGCGCAGTGGTTGGAGGCGCCGGCACTCACGTAGAATCGATCTCCACGTCCATGAGCCACCAAGCCCATTCATTCCTCCGTGGTCCGCAAATTGGTACTAGACTTGTCTCGAAAGATGGCAGCACTGGCTCGATACATCGGTAGGCCCATCGCTAGTCACTGTAAAGGATAGATATGCATTAAATTACTTCCAAACGATGATTGATGTAGTCGAATGCACGGCCTATCTCTCAGGGATTGATCAGCGCCGAGAGTTTTATCCTTTATATTCTTAATAATTCGGAAGGCCAACTTTCTACAAACCTTTGCATAAATAGTTGATTTATTACTTTAAATGGTTCTGTAAACTGATCTTGTTGAGGTGAGGCGAAGTTGGTATTGGTATGTGTAAGATCATATCAATAAATACTCATACGCTTATTGTGTTGGAACAAGGTCTGTTCTAGAACTTAGCGAAGTCCTCGGCGTCTCGACTACTCAAGTGTTCGAGAAATTCTCGCTAGTTGTCGAAAAACCAGAGTCGTCGCGAATGTGAATAAATGGAGTTGGGTCCTGTTCTTCAGTTATTTCACATGGAAATAGCGTTATTCGCTGGAAATCTGCACTGGAAAACGTTCAGAGGCCAGAAGTCATGTTTCTCTGTTTATCCTGAGGATTCGCTACAGTTGTTGAACTTCTCCCTGGTTTTTTCTTCACCTGTATCACCTATAGTCCCACTGACCGCCGAGTGACTCCAACGGGCGCCAGAAAATCTTCCTTCTATTCTTGTCGCGTGCAAGAGTAGCCCAGTGGGTTCTGCTCGCTCTAGGGACTCGTCGAGCATCATATCTTTCTTCAAGGCTCTTTGCGAAGCACTCTGACCATCGGGTCGGTGGTCTTTCTGCAGTACGTTTGACATCCCGAGAAATCCAGTCATTAACGGCTCTTGTCCATCGGTTGCCATTCATACGCATTACGTGTCCGGTTTTTTCTTAAGGTAGAGTATTTGCGTCTTTTTTGGTCGTCAAATCCGTCAAAGAAACCCCTTGACTTTTACTTTTTTTGCGTTTTGTTGATAATACTCATTGATTGCATTTTTCTGCTTCTTCTTTTTTTAAAATTCTTCCATTCCTAAATCATTCATCTATGAACTGTGAAATCTTCAGAGCACTGGATTTCCCTCCAGTTCATACGACTTTCTTCACTCTCAGTTTCAAAGAATTAAGTATCGTTGGAGGTGATTGAATGCATATCTAACCTTTACAATGACTCACGGTAGCCTACCGATGTATCGAGCCAGTGCTGCTATCCTTTCAGAGAAGACTGGTACCAATTTTCAGACCCCGGAGGGATGGAAGGCCTGGTGGGCCAAGGGCGCGTAGATCGATTCCACATGTGTGTCGCAGTGGCGCCTCTAACCACTGCGCCACACGCGCCATATTTATTAGAGTTATATCCAGTATAATATTAGACATGCGCATTAATCTGGTACGATGGTGACTTTCGAAAACTTTCCAAACCTATTTTCAATTCCGTGATTTTTGAACCTTCTAGATTTTTTGCTCTTCGATTTTTCGGTTTAGATTTTTCCACTTCAGGGTATGAAACAAATCCTATTAGCGTTTATTTAACTTTTATCCGCTGTCAGCCTGTAGCGCAATGATTAGAGGTATCTTGTAAACTCACAAATGGTCATTCGTGCAATCTTACTCAATCAAGCCCATCGTACCTACTCGTTCTGCAAATTAGTACTAGAGTTTTTTAGAAGGATAAAAACAGTGACTTGATACACTAGTAGATTTTCACAACTGATTAATTGTGAAGGCCAATTATGCATTTAATCATCTCCACGACGTTTCAGATGAAGTTAAAGGCATAACGAATTCCTGAGGGGTTGATTAACACCGAACACTTTATCCTCTATCTCTGCTTTTTATCTTTCTATCTTCTTTGGTTTCCATCATAGTCCGTGTAACCGAACCTTCTTCTATTGATTTAAAACTTGCTAAAATAAGACATCATTCAGCTTTTAGTACTTCTTTCGTTAAACGAAAAATGGTAAGTTACCACGGTAGCACTTGAGCACACGTGGCGCCTGTCTAGAACCAGTGAAGGGTTGAGTCAAAGTGGGCTCCTCTCGTTGGGTTGGGTCTTCACTCACTCAGTACAATGCGTTATCATCAGCATTTGTTGTCAACATCAATTTATGAACCCCTCTACTGTGGTGGAATAAACCTTATACAATATTGTGTAGTGTATTTGTGCTGGAATTCTGTAGTTGCTGATATAGTGTGAAGTAATGATTTGCTGTTATGGTCTAAAGTCTTCAAACTTTTCTCAGCAATACCTGATCTGGACTTGTTAACGATTGACTCCATTTCAGTGAAAGAATTTATGCCGACGATCTATCAGCTTATAAGCTGCTGTTTCTTCTAAGGTTCCACATAATTATCGGTCGATATAGTATCGATGTGCCTTTTCTAGCATCCCACCCGATATCTTCTATTCTACCCTCTAGTGTGTTAAACCAGATGCATCCCGTTAGATTAGATTTTGCATGTAGGTGATATGTTTTCGAATCAAATCACTTCGACGGCACCCAGCGCAGTACTTCTTACCAATTTAAAATCGTCTACACTTAGTTAACCAAATGCTTGCTGTTTGCTACCTACGCAGTGACGTCCTCTTGCATCGCTTAGGAAAGAGGAAATTCCACCATCTCAAACTAGGATGCTGGAATGGTTGGACTTCATCCGAACTTTCTGGTATATCCTTGACGACAATATTAGTGTCCTTACTCAATCCGACATCGTTTGATAAGATCACTAGCACGTTAATTAATCTCTTTATGGTTCCTTTAATTCCAAAGTTGTCTTACAACACATTTTATGAAGGGTAATTCGATGTTCTTCACTTCAACATAATTGAGTAAACTAGGGTTGTGCTGCTTTTAGCATTTCTGCTTAAAAATTGAATTTCATAAGAAATAGACTGGTGGCCTTTTGTGTCAAGAGGGCGTAGCTGTGTTATTAAGGAAAAACTTGGAGCGGAAAGTTCTGAATAGAACCAGTCTGCTCTTATCTTGCATATTATGAATGGGAGTTTGCGGAAATAACATTTATTAGGCGGAGCCGATTAATTATGTGAGGTAATTGACAAATTTCCTGACGTCAGCCCTACAGTTCTCCATGGGATCCAAAATCTTCGTAGTTCTGCAAGTCTTAAGGAGACCTCATTGACCGAAATCTGTATTACTTGATCAATTCTCAAATTTCTTTTGATTCTAAGCCACTTAGTAGTCCTAGAGATGCAATCCGAAAATTCGCACTTAAAGAAGCGCAGTTTATTCGACACAGGTGGAATATAAACGGAATAGCTCCTCATGCAAAGATAGTAACCATGTAGTAGTTTTGAATGAAAAACGAATAAAGCTTCCGGTGTCAATAAATTCCTGCGCAATGCGCTATGCATTCGATTCCATTCGAACAATCGTAGAGGTAATTGAATTCATATCTGACCCATACAATGATTTGCACTTGTCTACCGACTAGTCAAATCGCTGCTCTTTTGCTCTCGAATAAATCCGATGCTAATTTACAAACCCCGGATGGAAAGAAGCTTGATGAACTCGTGGCAGAAGATTGAACAAGAAATCGATCCAGTATATATTACAACCATCTATAACGACTATGCTACATGCTTTCCTTGATTATGCTCACTATTATAACAAACAAAGGGTAAAGCTCTCGGCGTTGATCAATCTCTGAGAGGTAGGCTCTGCATTCGACTTCATTAGGTATCGTTGGAGGTGGTCGAATGCATACCTGGCCTTTACAATGACTTCTGGTGGCCTACCGATGTATCGAGCCTGTGCAGTGCTGTTATCCTCCCAAACAGGTGTGGTACCAATTTGCCAACCCCGGTGGGACGGTGGGCTTGGTGGCCCTGTGGCGTGGGATTGATCCCACGTGTATTGGAGGACTCCTCTAGCCACTGTGCTGCACGAGCCCTCTTATGCTCTCAAACAAATCTAAGACTTACAATTATAGACGATATAATCCACTTGATTTTGTCCTTATCATTTTTCTCACCATCTCTTGGCTTCACTAATCTTTAGCAAGTTGAACTCAGCAATGACTTATGAACGGCTATATCTGATGTTGTAAGCTGTTGAAATGATGCGAAAAAATAGTTGTCGCTTCCGTTTTCTGTTTTTTACTCTAGTTTTTTTAGCGCCTTCTCTTACTCCGATTCCCAGCGTTTTAGCTTATATTAAAACTAGTATACCATCCACTGTTCATCTCGTCCCTCCAGATGGCACGACGGTACCGTCCACGATGCTGAATCGATTTATTCTAATGCTCCTCGTTCAATCTGTCAACACCATACTCTACAATATAGGCAAGTGGACAAAAACCCAGAACAATTCGTGAAAACGTATTTCAGTATGTGACATCATTGTTCTAATACGAAAATCACCCTAATGTAGGCGGATTCATTCCACTACAAAACCGTCACCGCTGTATCCGCTCTCTTCTTTTTTCAGAGCTATAAGACGTTCGGTTCATCTTAAGAGTAAATGAAACTGTGACAATATGAAGTTTTTCATTGCTGATCGGCTTCGTTCTCCATTTAACAAGCTGATGGGCACTAAAATCATAAAACATTACCAAAAACCTGTTATTGAATGAGGGTAGTAGTTGAACAACGAAGAAGAAGAAACCATCTATCGACGTCTTTATAAGCGGTATCAAATTTTTCATTTGGAAGCACCGAACAAAAAAGCTATATTTACTGTCCTTCGTTTCGCCTGTCTCCCAGCTAGCTCTATCGATCTTTCGCCATCAGCAATCACCCTTCATGGTGTGATGGTGAACGCGTTACTCCCCGGAAAGGACAATAGCGCGTTCGTTCCCCACCACAGACACCTGCGGTCCAGAGTTTTGCAGATAACTCTGCGTCATAGCAGTTATGTCATAATAGTTTTACAGAGCGGATATAGCACCTGTTTCTCCTCTTATTTTTCTATGGTTCATTTTAACACCCATAACTACCGATAGATTGCACATTGAAAAGAATTATTTTCGCCTGATAATCACTATCAACAGCAGCCGTCTTGTATAGAAGAGCATCGCTGGGTGAGGTTGCTGGTTTAAGCAGTGCTCCACTGAAGAAGAATCGATTCGATCCGAAGACGAGGACGCCACATTGAAAGGAGGAACCGCTGTGGACGATCGACTCGGATCATTGAATCTGAGCAAGACGAAGACATCTAAACGTTATCCGAGTAAACATGTTTATCAACCTTGTGTTAGCCTAATAATCCAAGAGGACGCAGAAGTGTTTTCCTGAAATACTTAACTTTTGCTTTTTCTGTTGTTTTTTTGATGGCAGGATATGATATGAAATAGAACCGAAATAATACTAATATATTCGCAAACCTTAGAACTCAGGCCAGATAGAACCGCGATCTTCTTTTCCTGGAGCTCCCATGTTACGCACAGTACCACTGAGACCGTTGTCTTGCCTTTTCCTCGGCCAGTTTTTTTTGCTCCTCATAGAAAGAGTAGTCGTGAGCTCGAAGAGAATTTGAGCTGCCGCCTTTTCCTAGTACGTCAAAATCCTTGTAGTTGTATTTCACACAACACTCTGGCATGAAAGAGATTAGGCGCTAAATAATAGCTAGTACATTATGATTTCGACTGCAGCTTCAACTTAACAGCACTCAATGTCAATGCGTGCTTCTCAGATCGTTCCCGTTGACGGGTGAATGCTGATAACATAGTTGGAGCAGGAACAAGAAAACTAAAAAGACAATGATTAATTCTTATATGCAGGTCCGTCATAGGATGGAGATGTTGTGATTTGTAGAGGAAATACAGTTGCGGAAAACATATGCATGGCCAATGAGCAGTGGCTAGTTGTGGAACGGTGCAGAATAGCTGGCTAGTTAAGCTAGCCCGAGATAGTTGAGATGTGCTGCGAGAATCAGTTGTGCATTGTGAATATTTACTAATAGATCTCTACTCAGCCGTTATCTTTTCAGGAACGACTGCAGTAAAAGGTACAGTGGCTTATGAGAATATTCGCTATGGTGTGGAACGATGGAATAGTGATCATTCTGTTTATATAGAGATAACACTACAACTTATCGCTACTGATCTCTATTACGCTGGAGTTGAAGAAAGAAGTAGGCCAATAGCAATTCTTCCGATAAAAATCGTATCAATTTTGTGCTTATTCCACTCTACACTTGCGTGTGATACTGTGGAATCAATATTTATGTCAAATCCTGGAAACCTCTTATACCAAACGTTCAAAGGTAAACAAGATTTGCTATTTTAGCAGGGAGATAGCAGCACTGGCTCGATACACCGGTAGGCCACCGCTAGTCATTATCAAAGCCAGATATGCATTCAATCACCTCCAAACGATGCCTAATGAAGTCAAATGCATAGCGCATTCCTCAGGAATTGATCAACGCTGAGAGCTTGATCCTTCTTTAAGCTTACGAAGCATTGGGATCCCCAGATTTTTGTCAGCAAGGCAAAGGCTTGCTTAATATAGAACAATTTTTGAAGCCTACGAAACTTTGCCTCATCTTCGTTTTTTCTTGGTCTACTCTCCTATCTAGAAATTCAACGCGTTTGAAGAGCAGGACTTCATCCAGCACTACAGTGTGTCTCCCAATGAATGTATCGTGTATATTTTCGGCTGCTGCTATTGTGTTGAAAGTTTTGGAAAGTATAAATGCCGGCTATATTTATTTGAAAACGTAAATTTTTGGGGAATTAAGTTAAAGGTTCGTTCTACTTCCGTAGGACGAACACGTAGATGAAGATCGTTAGTTCGTACGAACTCAGTCGAAGATAGTCAAGCAGCCATGCTAGCTTTCTAGCTTACTTTCCAAACTGGAACTTTTGAGGGAAGACTTCATTGATGGCATAATTTCATTGTGCGTGTTGTACAGATTTTATTAACCAAAAACATTTTTTTGGAGTCGTTTTGTTCTTTATTGCATCTCCTAATGGGACGTGGCCGTTCGTCATCTTCGCCGAGCAGATGGAAGAGACCTTTTAGTCTCGCTCTTCTATCGACTCTTCACTTAAGCTTCAGCTGTAATTGGATATGGCATCGCCGAGAATTTCCTTATAAAATATGGCTTTCTTTATTTTTTGCTTAGTAACAACACTTAGTCTCCTCTTTATAAAAAGTGAATCTCCGCACGAAGAAGGCGATGATCTGATGTGTCGCAAAAGATGAAGCGATGCCAGCACGATAGAAATCCTATTCGCTGTTGATCAACTTCCACGCGCATCGTAATATTTGATCATTCTCAGATCCAGCAATGATAGCTTCTCTTTTTGAAAACGAAATCTTCATTATGGAAGCAAACCGATGGTGGTGTAACCCCGGCACGGTGATTCCAATTTTCAAAACGGTACATGATACAAATTTTCCGACTCGTCCTTTTCATGTGCTGGTTACATGTTTGTGCTGAAATCGACCTTGGCCCATTTATTGAAGATTTTTGTTAGTAGGAGCTAATCGGTTTCAACAAAACGCATTGAGTTGCACACAACCAGCACGTGAAGCAAGCACCTCCGAACTTCTCTGTGGAGCTTCCTTATTGTCATTTTTTGGAAGGATGACCACTTAATATTTAACATGTTTCGCGTGGTCGCGAAAAGCATAATGGATGTTATCTGAGGAAAGTCGAAACCGTCCCCATTGTGTGACAGGAGTGCTTCGTCACCGTTCAGATCAATTGAGACATTTTATCTCGTGTAAACAGGTTCGTTGGAGGTCAAGCCTGATTTTCACTGGAGTTCTAAGAAACTCGTGGCGATGTGTTCCAGGATTATCAAGATAAGCAACCACCTAACGGCGTCGATTGCAGAAAGGCATGCTGCCTTACAAATACCTTTTATGGGCTTATTTTCTCTTAAATGACTCGTCATCAAATCTACTCTGCCGATCCTAACACTCTTTGCATTAGATTCGTTTTTTTTTCCACTCACTGTACACAACCGTCTACGAGTACTTCGCGTCCTTGTTTTGGCTGCTATTTAAGGATTTTCTCTTTTTAAATAGTCTTATGAAATTCTGGTCGTACCGATTTTGGAGATAACTGAACTAAGGCGGCACGTGGAATGGAAGACAGCGTTGATCAGGGAGTCGCATCAGCGCCTTTGCACACTGATCGACGGCATCACTAACCACTGCGCTGCTCTGGTGGTACGGGTTCCATCGACTAAAGCAGACGAGCTGAGGAGTGTATAAATTATGGACCAAACTCTGTATATTACATTTATTCACGACTTGCTGTTTAAATCCATTAACCGACTGATATCAGCATGTCCTGTGTATGGGTCAAACCTCACGGAAATAGATTCGTCTTTCAAATTTGATGCGGATATCGCAACTCATAGCGAACTTTATCATTTGATTAGAAAACATCAAACTGTGCATATTTTTGATTACAAAATAGAAATTTGGTTACTCGACTTGATGAAATACTGAGGTTCTGCACCTCTCATTCCATCGCAATTCGTCGCCGAGGCTCTTCGCATGGGCGGCAAAGTGGTTAAAGAATAGGAAGTAAATGAAAGAGATTGAGAAGTGACAAATGCAAATCGCCTACAAGAATGATATCTTAATCATCAACATAAGCTAAGTCTTTCTTATGGGTTTGTCACGTTTTCAACTACATAACCTCATTAAAATTATGGGCGGTTATTGAAAAACTAGCATATCCTTCGATGAGTTAAATGTCTAACACCTCAGTGTACGAGTTATCCATTAGAATAATTCTGCTGTTATGGAAGCTACTTGTATTGCGTCGAAATGACTTTGACTTTCGCAAAACTCATATCAACTTTATTGTGTGTAAAAGTACCGAATCCTTTCAACGGCTTATCGTTTCATCGTGGCTGGGGGCATTCCTGGGTGCTAAACTGTGATGTAAAGCAAGGGATTCATCTTCTGGCAGGGTCTCCAAGCTGAGAAGGAGTCTGCCGTTTCCATCAGGAAGCCTAGCGAGGAGTAAACCAATACCAGGGTCCACCACGGTCCTGGTATCAAAGTCGCATGGCGGCAAATCTCCCTCTGATCCACAATGGAGTTGAATGCCTGTGGTGGTGGCGACCTGGAGCAAACCTTGGCTAGGCTGACCTCGGGACTGCAGGGAGAAACAGTGGCCAACCGCACAACCGGTGAGGGAGGACGGGCCGTTAAAGTATCATGTAACTATCAAAAGTACCGAATAGGAAAACTAACTTGCGTCCCAAACAAAACTGCTAAAGTAGGCTAAACCTTCGCCCATCTCCTTGTTTCGAACGGTTGATAAAAGAATGTATTCAGTTTGCGATATATTACAACACAACGTCATCGCCTTGCTGATTCCCTACACAGAAGACCACCTGGATGAAGTGTTGGTGAAATCCATGTGTCGTCACTTTCAAGTTCGTTTCTCTTCGACGCCATCCAATTATCGTTTAAATGCATGTTGCTCGACTTTATATCACTTTTTGCTGATTTATTTGCATACGTTTCTGAAGGCAGTTATTGCTTCTAACTTTAAACAATCATCTCTCACTTCATAGCGATCGTTATCTACAGAAGTTTGAGAAACATTAGAATACCCGCGCTACCAACATGGTAAAAATGCGTCTTCTCACTCTAAAGGAACATAATTTTGCTCTCTTGGTGCATAATATGCCTATTTCTTTTGTTCTTTCATCGTTAACGCTTCTATTTCCAACGCCGAAGTGATTGAAGAACTGGGATTACGTGTAGTACGACAGGTTGGTGCCCACTTTTGTATGGTTAGTGTTTGTGGATGTAGCACTTGGGTTGACAATTTCGAAAATTTCGACATGCCAAGATGGACTAACTTTTAACCAGGGCATTAGTCAATAATTCGCTGTTTTTCTTGATGAGCAAACATGAGGCTGTTATTGCAACCTTTATAAATGCACAATAGCTGAGGTTTCAGCAGTTTCACCTTTTTCAGAGCCATTTTGTTCGTTGTAAGTCTTCCAGTTATTTAGTGGAGATCAGCCACGAGAGTATGACGTGGATGAGGAATTTCAGTGTCATTGGTCACAGTGCTTTGACCCGTAAAAGCCCCTGATACGGCAGAATTCGGTAGAACAAGTACGGAGAGGTTCATAAAATCCATAAGGACTAAAGTGACGATTTGTACCTACGATACATGCTCACATGCATTTAATTCCTCTATAGAGGACCTGATCATGCAAGCAAGAAGAATAAGGCACGACGTCATCGGACTGGCTGAGACGAAAAGACGCCGCCTAATCAACGCCGTCTACGACATTGGAGATGTACTGTACGACATTGGAGATGTACTGTACGATGTACGAGTTTGACCGTGAACACGTCGATTTATTCGAACAACTTACAACCCGAGTCGGACGTTTACGATTAAAAAGACGTGGATCAATTCCGGCTTTGACAATCTTCGTCGTTTACGCGCCGACATCAAACTATGACGAAAAAGAAATCGAAGCGTTCTATATGAACTTGTAGAGGCTCTACAGAGAAGACCACACATTCTTCAAGGTCACCATTGGAGATTTCAACGCCAACATTGGACCAAGAAGAAGGTCTGAAGAACGTCATATTAGGAACTGCAGATTAGAATGGAACGAACAGGGCGATCGACTGCCTGAGATTATCATGACGACCAAGACAAGTTCCAATGGCAAGCCACAATACCAAAAACTCCGCTCTCGACGCTGGATGTGGGACACATCCAACAGAGAGTTCCATAACGAAATAGACCACATGGTAGTAAACCACAGGTTTGCACATTCGATGTCGCTGTTGTCCCAAAATTCTAAACAGGATGAGACTATCGCCTAGATTTCATTTCTCGCAGGAATAGGGGAAAAGGCCGCTAAGTTCAAAAAGCGAAGTGGGAAACTTACCGTAAACTGGGAGCTATACAGCTCGGTCGCCGTACAGTCATTAGTTCGAAAAATGCCGTTCTTAGTAACTTCGACAGGGAGTACGATGGGCTCATTCAACATGCTCACGCTAACACAATGAAAGCTGAGAGTTCGAGATCTCCAAGAGACTTCATTCTCCAGAAACATTCGAGCTGGTACCCCAGCATGGAATGGCACGACCTATAAGCAACGCCATCTCACGTCTGAACATGCGAAACATTGCAGAGAGGTGGTAAAACAGATATTAAAAATAGAAAAGTAGTAGTTATCGTCGAAGCTGCAGAGACTGGAAAAAGAATTAGCAAAGCCCACCGAAGCTTCACCAATTACAAGACCAAAATGATTGCACTCAGGCGCCCATACGGAACAGTTACAGCGTCCAGAAAGGCAATGGAGAAAAGCATGCACGACTACTACTCAAATCTCTTCAATATCCACATTCTCCTTTCGTCATGTGAATATGGAATAAAAGAGGATAGATCACACCACCGGTGATCCCTTCCAAAATCCGAAATACTATTTCGTCGGTGAAAAATCGAACAGCACCAGGTCAGGACAGGAAAGGATCTGAACACCTGAAAAACCTTCCACCAGTCCTCCTAAACGCAGTAGCTCGGCTTTTCACATGTTACTTGTCTGAATCCAAGATTCCTACTCAATGGAAGATCAGCAAGACCGTGCTATTTTTCAAGAAGAGCAACTGATATCGGCAACTACCTCCCAATCTCATTGTTGCCTGCCGTCTAGAAACTTTTAACTCGAGTTATCCTAAACAGAATTGACAGAACACTGGAAGAAGTGCATCCATGTGAACAAGCAAGGTTTAGGACTCACTACGATGGGCCACATCTAAACAATAGCAAGACTCGTATATAATGCTGAGATACTTGCAAAACTCCAGGCCACAGGTGTATGCGGTGGGGAACGAACGCGCGCTATTGTCCTTTCAGGGGAGTAGCGCACTTCACCACCACACCATTCGGGTCCTTCGTTTTTCCTGTCTCTCAGATAGTTCTATTGATCTTTTGCCATCAGCTAGCTGCCATAGAACTAGCTGAGAGGCAGGCAAAACGAAGGACCCGGATGGCGTGGTGGTGAAGTGCGCTACTCCCCTGAAAGGACAATAGCGCGCGTTCGTTCCCCAGCGCATACACCTGCGGTCCGAAGTTTTGCAAATATTTCAGCATTATATACGAGTTATATTTCGCAACATACCCTGCCATTAAAAAGAAAAAGGCGGTAAATAAAAGGGTTAAAATAGCAAGACTCACTGAAGAATCGCCAGAGTACAAAAGACCGCTCTGTCTCACTTTCATCGATTTACAGAAGGCCTTTGATTTAGTTGGGATGGAAGCAATCTTGGAGGCATTTGATTGTCGAGGAATCCCTACTCAGTACATAAAGATTCTTCGTGAGCTGTCCAAAAATTGTATAACCAAGATATCACCATTCTACAACGATATTAACACTTACGTCAAAAGAGGGGTTACGCAAGGCCGCACCATGTCGCCAAAGTTATTTACCGCCACCCTTCAGAATGTCATGCGAACAATGGAATGAGATAATATAGGAGTGAAAATCGATGGTCGGCAGTTACAGCATCTTCGCTTTGCTGATGTTGTCATCCTTATAATACCAAACATTAGCCTACGTATGCTTGCCGACTTTGACAAATCCTGTAGAAAGATTTGTCTTCGAGTAAATCTCACAAAAACGATGTTCATGTAGGAACGGCTTGGATTCGCATGCCCCATCCACGCCCAACGGAACGAATATCTCCGAATTCTCCAGTTATGTCTATCTAGGTCGGGGAAACAACGTGGTCAACGATTTCGCTCCAGAGTTGAGCAGAAGGAAGTGAGTGGCTTGGCGAACATTCAAGAGCATTGGGGATATAGTGAGGAGAACAATAAATGCCCAACACCGTGCCCACTTTTCGACTTCGCTTCTCCCTTTCTCACCGCATGCATCTCGTATCACGCAAGCCAAGGATCAGGAATGAAAGACACCGTTTTACACGCGAAATTATCGAAGATTGAGTGGGTCAGACACGCAGTGCGCATGAACAACAACAGGTGGACAAGACCCGTTAGCAACTGAATTCCTCGGGATGTCAAACTTACAGCAGGAATACCACCGACTCGGTGATAAGAGTTTATTACGAAAACCCTGGTAGAAGGATATGATGCTCAAAGAGTCCCTACAGCGATCAGAACCCACTGGGTTTTTCTTGCACGCGACGAAGAGAAATGGAAAATTTACTGGCGTCCGATCGAGTCACTCGATGGTCAATGAGGCAACAAGTGATCACAGATGATCACCCTTAACGGCTCATGCAAAGCTTAATGCAGTTAGGCGACATTTTTGTATGCACTTTGGGTAATCCTACCAGCGCTCTCAATCAAGGCTTCTCGCGCTCCTCAAGTGGTCAGCGAATAGTGAAATCACTGGTAAAGGAATAATCACTATGTTATCTATTAAATGATTTCCATGAAGTGGATATCCAGGCCTCTATAGCATCAGCGGATTAACACGTAGAATGCTATACTTACTACCGACTTCCATTCAATCTGGGTACGAATAATTACAGTATTGACAAGCTTACACAAGTTTGCTGCAATTAATTGGTGGGGCTTCAGTGCTTGAACACCCGTCAGAACTGCAACGATTCGCATCGGTTTTATACAGCAGGAGTGGAATCGAGCCATTATTTTCCCGTGTGGAAAACGATATTATTCAAATTGCCATAAAATGGCTACTATCATGGAAGCAAATAATTCTAGATAGCGACTGAACAAGAACCGTTCTGTATTTTAAAGAGCTTCTGGACGATGTTACATTATGTATTCTTTCTTGATAAGCTTGCACGAGGTTGATAAATATATTTATTTTCGGCTAACGTTTCGACGTCTTCGTCTTCCTCAGAGCCGGTGATCCGAGTCGATGGTCCATGCTTGTTGTTCGCCTCGACGTTGCGTCTTCGCCTTCCTGTCGAGCCAGATCTTCCTCAGCGAGCCATCTTCTCGAATGAGGCATCCTCACTCAGTGATGCCCTTTTATACACGATGCTGATGGTGGATATATAATGACAATGTCCGGTGGTAACAACTTGTATTTCTTCCGGACATACATCATTGCGCACATCGTGCAGAGGTCGGTGTGTTATCAGCTAGCACAAAGCGAACAACAAGCATGGACCATCGACTCGGATCACCGGCTCTGAGGAAGACGAAGACGTCGAAACGTTAGCCGAAAATAAATATATTTATCAACCTCGTGCAAGCTTATCAAGAAAGAATACATATTGATTTGTCACACCGAGGTTTAGGGAAGGTCGGTTTCGAAAGATGTTACATTATTCCAGCGACAAGGACCGCGATGTATGAAAGAGCAGTGCTAGGTGACATCACTTCATCGCGCTAATATTCACTCGATCCAATACAGTATGAATACGAAAACTCATAAATCACAGAGCATAACTGCTGTGAAGGTGCTGCTGGAAGCATCGTGGCTCTGTAGAGGGCGATACCATTGAAGCGGTGATGGAATAAGGATCCGTGACAATCCTGTGTTAGTGTTAAGGCTATAACTTGAGCGGAATTGCTGGCGAATCCTGTAAATATGACAACACCGGAGCCTCCACCTATAGAATCCTGTCGAAGACTACTTAGTTATCCGTTATTTTTTGCTTGCTTTTTTTATGGCAGTATGAGACACTTTATAGAGTATATGAGTCTTCCTCGTGACAGATTCAGTGGAAGACTCATAGAAAGCGGTGAGTGTCCAAAGAAGCCATTCTGCGTTGAAATGTGATTGAAATCTCGCTTTAATATTCTCCCTATTTGGTTATGGAGGTGTTTGGCTGGGCAGAATGCAGTCAACTTGCCTCTTCCAGGCTCTGAAGTAGGCGAAATCCGCCGAAACGTTAGCTTGCAAGACATTAAATAATAGCTCGTATTTGCTCAACAAGCATATAAAAACACTTCATAGCTTTTAAATTCATATTTAGAGTGTCAGAAATATTAGTAACGCAATGAGTGGGTGGAAATTTTACAGTTACCGTTTTTACTTTGTTCAGATTCCGTGCCTTTCTCTAAAAATGAGCCATCCCATGGATTTTGGTAGGTTTCCATATCTCTGAAGATGTAGCGTAGTCGTTCCTCGCATGTGCAAAATATGATTACATCTTCAGCGTCAGATTTTGTTACAAACGTCGGTCCTCATGCGGGTCTCGAAGCGATGGCTATCAGTGCACTTCTTGAAAACCTCAGATGGACGTCGTTTCTGCTTGTCTACCAGCATGATTCAGGTTTTGAATAACGTATTTGTACTAAATTACTCGTATTTAGAATATATCGCGTTTTCAAAGTAATTAAGATATAAAGATATGAAGAAATAAAGAATATGTCCTTTAAGGAAAGGAAAAGATACTTCGCTAAAGAGATGAAACAACTTTAAGGACTTCTAATGTTGTGAAACTATGTCTGGTCTAAAAGAACCGACTTTCATTAAACCTCGGTAAAATCTATGTGTGTATCGTGCCTCTTAGCAAAGAGAATGATAGATCACTAGAGTAGCTGGCCGTTTGCTTCGAACCTATTTACTCTGTGAATTTGCTCTCGTATAGTTTATTTTCAAGAAAAATCTGCAGATCTCGTGGATCTGGCTCCTCTCATCCATGATCGTCGTTCTTCGCACTACTATAGAGGGACGCATGCAGCCATTAGAATGAGAAGACTGCCTAGCAATACTAATGACTACCAAGCATATCTAAAGTATGTTAGGAACTATCTCCAAGAAACCAACATTGTAGGTTTCAGACTTTTTTTTACGGATTTTTATCCATTTAGTTGTTTATTTACACCTATCATTTGCTTGTCTATACGTTATCTGTCGATCCATTGCTAACCTATCATTGATTAGTCCATGTTTTTAAAGCTTCAACAGAACTCTGATCTAAGCGATATTAGAACACAACGAAAAGCCGGAAGCTCTCTTTATGCTCCTATCATTTGCTGCAAAACTTACTTGATTACAATCTTATCACGAAGCATTTCAGATTTGGAAACGTTTCGTTGTCAAACATTTCAGTTCCCAGAAAACTAACAAGTAGTTTGAGACGAAAACTCTTTAGGTGATTCACTCGAACAACATCACCACGTTGTACAGTCTACTACAAAGCGCTAAAGTCTTGAATATGACCGAATCGCCATTCTCATACCTTTTCACGAGCACAGTACGTACAGTAGCTATTTTCTATCGATGGTGGAATCCGCTACTTGTTCAGCAATTCCGTTTAGGACTTGACGTTACTCGAAGATTTCCTGAGCAATGTATATGGGACGTTTCATTGTAATATTTCTGGTTTGCAGCTCGTTAAAAACGATCCTTTGATGAAGGTTTGCTCGTCTAGCCATTCTATTCCGCCGTTATTTTCTTTCTATCTTAAGTCAAATAATTGTAGACGACATTAGCACTAAGTTCGGAGGCGGTCTGGGTAGCTGGGAAGGCGCTTCACAATATGAAAGAGGTCTATTTTTTATTTGTCTCTTTATTTTCCAATGTACTTCGCACATCGACACGCTCTTTTGTTTGTCAAATTCACCTATGATTAGTTTAAGGTGAAGTGGAAGTAAAGTGATAACTTACGACCAGGACAAAATCAGGTTTATTCGTCAAGGAATATGAAAACTCATGCATGCTGTTCACTACTAGACGGTTACAGTACACCAGAGCTGGCAAACTGAAACTGAATACAAAGCAGAAAAAGTTCATTTTCTATGCAGATTTTACTTATTTGGTCCATAGCGATGACCATTTGCAGAGCTAACGGGTTCGATTCATTGAGTGATGTACTCATTCGAATAGAACGTCTCGAGATTTATCTTAACTGTTCATCGCCCTGGAATCAACCGTTTGCTGTCATTCGATGTTTTTCTTCAATAATCAGATACGAGGTTGTTATTATAGCATTTATTAGGACACAATAGCTGACGTTTCGACGGTTTCGCCTTCTTCAGAGCCTGGAAAGGTCAAATTGAGATGTGATCTACTCAGCCAAACACTTTCATAACCCCAGCAGATTAAACTTAAAAAATAAATTTGCATACGCATAAGAAACAGCTTCATTTAAGCACCTACCGTTTATTCGTTGTGAGTATTTAAGTTAGTTGGTGGATAGCAGCCGCACAGAGCAATACATGGGCGAGGACTCTGCCTGTGTCAGGTCATTGGATTAGCCTGAGGTATGGCGTCAGGTCACGCGTGATGACAGGACATTCCTCCTTGCAGTTCATTTTTGAATTTTTGGAATTGATCCAAAACTCTTCAAGAGTTTTACGCGCTGTTGTTTCCGATTCGTGCGTGAGGATAGTGACTCCTACTTCAAAATCTTCTCCGTTGTGTTCCTGCATCCTACGCGCGCCTAGTGGAGTGCTTGGTTGAAATCTAGATTTACCGACTAGGTGTTCTTTTATGCGGACGCAGAGCGGGCTACCCGTTTTGCCAACGTATTCGTCTCCGCACGCTTTACAAGAGATCAGATAGACTGTACCCGAACTCATGCAATCACCGTTTCTACTGTTAAGGCAAATTATGCAGTTTTTCGTTACACATAGACGGTCACATAGGTGGTTACAAATTAGCTAGCGTGATCTGGCGTCTATCGATTATGCAGTTTTTCGTCACACATAAACGGTCATATAGGTGGTTGCGAACTAGCTAGCGTGATCTGGCGTCTACCGACCCCTCCACCTTTAAAGTTAGACCCATCATCAGTTGTGTAGACGGGCCTACAGATAGAATTGCTTGGTTTATAAATCTAATCCTCAAGCAGTTGCTTAAGCACATACTAGCCCATCTCACGACTCACGAACACCCAAATGTTTCTAGACCGTCTGCGCAACGCACGCCACAAAAGCGTGTACGTTATGGAGTCGTTCGATATTACCGCCCTTTACACTAACGTGTCGAACGACTCTGCAATGCAAGCCATCCGCGAGCTTCTTGAGCAACACGAAGAAGCAATTAACATGTATGGCTTTTTGATTCAGCAGCTTATGGTCCTCCTAAAGATCTGTTTAAACTGCTCGATCTTCAAGTGGTCCGGGAAACACTACGCGCAAATTAGAGGGTTGGCAATGGGACAGCTACTGGCACCAACCCTTGCCGTTGCCTTTATGCCTTAAGTGGAAGCACCAGTAATCGATCTCAGGCCATTACTCTACTGTTGGCTTATAGATGATTGTTTTGTCATCTGTTCCACATAAGAGGAGATGGACAAATGCTTTGAGTTATTCAACGAACAGTCAGAGTACATGAAATTCACCCGTGAGAAACCGAAAGAAAACTGGCTTCCATTTCTAAACGTTCAAATCAACCTATCCGAAAACGGCTACATCACAAAATGTTATCGAAAGCCAAGCAGTAAGAATATAGTGGTTCATTACTTCCCCTCTCATTCCTCACACACTAAAGGGACGCTAATAAGAAATATGTTTCGAACCGACGCCAGCGGTTACACAGGTAGAGAGTAGAGGGAAGAATCCTCGAAACTGGCGTGCCAAATAGCCATTTCAAATGGTTACGAAACTGTAGCTTCTCGGCATAGACATAGAGGAAAACCCACACCCCAAAGCGATAATTCTAGCGAAAACAAGGCTCCGTTCCTCTCGCCCTTTATTTCAAACGACATAAGTGCAGCTATAAGACGTTGCTTAATAAGGGCCGGCTTGGAGAATTCCGTAAGAGTGATAGAAATACCATTGGACACTCTAAGATGCCAGTTAGTTCGCAACCACCTATGTAACCGCCTATGTCAGGAAATCGCCAACCCTCCGATGGAGATCAGTTCATAATATTTATGAATCTGTGTCCTTGTAGGTAACCACTGAAATAGCGGAGTTATTACTTGAAAATATCTGGCTCCATACACTTTCTTCAGCCCACATCTTGATTGGACTGCAGCTATGCGATAAACCTCGACAAGAGAACATTTGTTGGTTTATGGAAACAAAGGAAAATCTGAGTCAAGACACATGAGACACAGACACAGTCAAGACACACAAGAGTGCAAGTGTGACTGTGCGTCGAAATTGTCGTCCATCGTGGTGGTCGGATCAAGAGCATGGTGGCGAGTGCGAGTCTCATGCCGTGATTTACAAAACAAGTGCAACTGCGAGTACAACGGGTTGACGTTAGTGCGAACACGCCCGCCTGTTTTTCCATTATATTGCCAGCCCATCTATGTTTCACTATCGATGTGTGTTCTCCCGGGGCTCGAAGATCAGTTATATTCCAGAAATCAGAGTTTCGCATTCCTGCTAAACATTGCGTGTGCCGATTATATTTCAGAAGACATCGCTCAAGCACTCCGTGAATAGCGCACGGATCCCTGACTTGATCGAAGTACCAGCCCACGCCTCCTCTGAAACAGAGTGTTAGGAGGATTGTTGGGTCAGAAACGTGGACGCGGAGTTATGGATCCATTATTTGGTCGGTGGAGTCTTTCAGAGACTCGAATGCTGCCATATTGCTCTCTTCCTTCTGTCTAATTTCTTCTCCATGTCGCTCTCCATGTTCATTGAACTCAAGAGGTATTCGTACGAGATGGTCTCTTAATCAGTAAACCAACCAGTTTGATCTAACCACCTTCACGCCATAGATTAGTTGGGTCTCCTGCCCACATATAAGTATTCTGACTTTTTCCCGCTCCGTTTGATCGACGCCTCTGCTTCGCTGGTACTTCTTGAGAAGATGTCGATGTTGCCAGCGAAACGAAGATTTGGTAGGAATACGTATCCGTTTTTCATTCCAATCGAGTAACTTCATTATCCATTATAGTGCAGCACTAAACAGCTTGGGCGATATTGTGTCACCTTATCCAACTGCTTTTGCTATGGGTATGGTATGAGGTTGGCAGAAAATCTTTATTTTCGCAATGCAGTACAGTTGTGAAAGTATATCAGTATTATATAACTATCACTATGTAAGTCGCGTAGTTGTGCTGCAGCTTCGATAACAGTCAGAAAGAGTTCTTATGTAAGATGGCTCCGCTCCTCGCTCGACGATCGCTAATAGGATTGCATTCGTTTCGACACGGTCAAACGTTTCTTCATAGTCAACAAAAGTCCGGGCTACAGGCAGGTGGTATTCCGGACAAACGTCAATGACCCTAGACACGGTTTAGACGTAGCTTATGCAGCAAAATTATTGTCGAAATCGTGTTTTTTAGTTGGTTGCGCTTCATTCAATGCCTTCGATGTGCGCGATAGGACAATCTTAGTGAAGAGCTTGTAAAGTACATTCAACAACGATATCGGATAGTAGTTACAAAGATTCCTTCGGTGGCCTTTCTTGAGAAGAATGATTGTGCTCGACATTCACTGGCCTGAGATTTTTTCCTTTCGAAGACAGGCTTTTAAATGATATACGAGAAGTACATGTAAACTGTTCATTCCAGCTCTAAGGAAGTCCGAAGTGATATTATCGGTTCCTGGAGCTGTGCTTTTTTTCATGCTATTCATGCTATCGCAACTTGAACCTCAGAAGAGGAATTCCGGATGGTTTTGAGGGTCTGGGATTACTAATTCCATGTCATGGCCGGAAGTTTTACTGATTCCGCATTCGTTTACCTGGGGTAACGGCAGAACATTATACAAGCGCAAGTCCCGACAGTACAGTATTTTCAGACTGATTCTTCTTGATGCTGCTTCTGACAGTTTTTTCTGCCCGTCCCAAGGTAGATTTTCCTGTAAAGCTCTTTTGCAACTAGCGTTTATTACTAGCCATGTTAAGCATGCTGCTGTAGCATCAAGCTTCAGTTTCCTTCTCTTCTCGAGCATCTTCAAATTGGTAATGGAGATGCGACATAATCTTTTTGTTTGAGGAACTGAGGTCAATGCGGTACAACTTCTAATTCCTTCGACGACAAGCTCGTGATCCTCGGTCGCCTCTTCTTTAATATGCTTGTCCGTTTGGATAGCTACCTGTTCATCGTATACAGCTGGATTTTTTCTTCTTGGTTGAAGACATTGATTCTTTTTCGGCCTACGGATGAATGGAATCTTTGCGCGAAGAAGGTGGTGTACATACCCATTACAGAATGACTGAACTGACGATGTGTCAAGAAGGCATTGGAATTTGTCTATTTGTTAGAATATGGTTAATCTTCGCATGACTCGTGCCGTTGAGGGATTCTTCTGTCCAGCGGTAGCTTCCTTTTTTTGGAAAACTGAGTTTCCATGGAAGAAGCGTGCTGCATACAGGAGTCCTGCAAAACGGCTTCTATTTTTATCCCTTTCTAATAATTCAAATTTTCCGACTCTGTATTGGATCTTATTGGTTCTTCTTATAATGAAGTTGAAGTCTTCGACAAAAATTTGTAATACGCTTTACTATTGCGGATAGTTTCCCCAACTGATAGTATAACGCATCTAATTCGTACTACTCAACCACATCGGTCGGTGAGTAGCAATTGACGATAGTGATCTTCTTATAACGCATTATTGAAGACAGAGGACGGCCATGCGACAGAACAGGATCTAGTATGAGCCGCCGAAATGGACAATAGGAGTATGAGCTACAAAACCTACACCATTGAGGTGTTGAGACGGGGCCTTTTCTAT